ATTTAACCGAGGATGTCCCCAACATGTAACTTTTGTGAAAACAGGGAGGTGGGCGCTTGCCCAGGGAGGGGCGCGTGCCCGGGGTAATACGGTACATTCAATTATCATAAAATCGTATACCCGTACTGTATAAAATACTTTATTTTTGTTTCGTTTATTTTTTTCTCTCCCTATTTTCGCTGAAGTTCAGTGGAAATAAAATCCAGTGAATATACTTTTTTTCAATTCATCAACAATCAGTGAAAATAAACTCCATACAAAACATTCAAAAAGTCTTTTCAGCGAAAATAAAGTATTTTGTAATAGGTGGTCATTTATCACTGTCATTTCATCTCAAATACATGGTGTATAGTTCTCCTGGGAAAACACACTGTATGTAGAGTTTGCTTTTGTAATTAGCATATAAATGTCCAAATGGCGTTCAATATCTTGAGTTGACATTTGGCTCAACAAAATAAAAAATTCCCTTTATTGTTTAATGGCAGATTTTTTATAATTTTGCAGGTGATCAAAAAACGATATGAAGCCAATGAAACTGATGAATTCCTGAAACCAATAATTGTCAGCGAGGAGGGTAGAGTCCGTGATGGAGACACGATGATTTTCATTGATTTCCGTGCAGACAGAATGAGGGAAATAGTTGAAGCATTTGGAATACAAAGAAATTTTGATACAGAAGTTGCTCCAAAAGTGGTAAGTACCAATGAGAATGCAAATCAATTTAAATTTTTTCTATTCCTTTGATAAGTTATCTGGCCCAGTAGTTAGGGAAGACTTACATGTACTAGTCAATTATACTTATTGCAGTTAAGTTAGTTATTTGTAGAAATGCAGTTTTCATCATGATCTTCTGCCATCATGCCCATTCTCTCTAACTTAGACTGGTGGCTATCTATACTCGACAACTTTCACTGCAAATTACTTCTAATTACATACTTTTTAACTAAGCCCCAATCTTCGTATCAGCTCTTCTACAGTCATACAACTTCACTCTTAATTATTTTTCAAAACACACTACTATTTGAGGAATATTTTGTAAACCTGTTGTATGTGAGGGATGCCTTTCTGAATCTCCAACCAAAACTTTTAAACCATTCACCATTTGAAGAAAGTAGAATTTATTGTCAGTATTTAAGAAAATATATAAAGACTATAACAATTACGTTTTTTTTCTAGCATTGTGATTGTCTATCTGGAATTACGTTATGTGAACCATCTATTTGTTTTATATCATGATGGAAAAAAAAATACCATTTAATTATTTATAGATTTATTGTATTGTTAATTTCAGAATGTCACAGTTATGACCGAATACAAAGGAGGTTGGCCGTTCCCTCAGTTGTTTCCTCCACAGGTGCCGACCAATGTACTTGGTGAATGGCTTGCACATAAAAAAGTACCACAATTCCATTGTGCAGGTATAGTGTAACTTTCTGTATGTATTACGTACCTTTTATGGAAGTTGTGCCACAAGTGTTAAATACTTTGCCCATAGGAAAAGGCTAAAACAAAGTCACATTAAACCACAATTGGGCTAATAGGAGTCTATGTCAAAAAAGAAATAAAATGTTGTAGATGGATGAACGCAATGGTTTTCAGAGCATCACCTGTAAAAATGTATTTGGTTGTGTAGTCTAACATTTGAAGTATACTGTATATGCACTTTATACATAATTTAAATATGTTTCTATGTTCAAAATAAGTAATATTTTAATGATTCAGTAACGCAAATAATTTGAGGTTTTATGCACTTCTATTGGACATGTGCTTCCAATAGAGTAAAAATGGTTGCAAGTTTTAGTCACTTAAACGATTTTGTTATTAATAGATAACTACAATGTATTATAAATAAAAAAAAATAATATGCAGTCACACCATGATGTTACCATAGTGCAAACAATGTATTTTGTTTCAATATTTCTGGACAATGTTCCAAACCAGTGTCCAAAATAATAACACATGTTTTAAAGGTAGGGAAAACCAACACACACTACCGGTAATTGCAGTTTGAAGTGAACCATGCTTTTTTGTTCTAGAAACTGAAAAATATGCCCATGTGACATTTTTCTTCAACGGTGGCAGAGAAGATGCTTTTGAGCTTGAAGATCGTTGTATGGTGCCTTCACCAAAAGTACCAACATATGACACTTTACCTGAAATGAGCTCAGCTGGTGTTGCAGACAAAGTGAGAAACTCTTTTTTTTTTTTTTCCCTTAAATCTTTGTTGAAATGTACCGGTAGTTTTGCAGTGATTGATAAATTTTAATATCAATTTATTTCTTGGTCATGTCTAAATATTTTCATTACAAATTCTTTTCTGTTGCCAGTTACCAAATTTGTATTTATGTTCCATAGATGGTTGAAGCTATCGGTAGTGGTAAATATCCATTTGTTATGTGTAACTTTGCACCTCCTGACATGGTGGGCCATACTGGACAGTACGAACCAGCTGTTAAGGCATGCACAGCGACAGGTTAGTCCACAGATACTGTAGTAAACTTGCACATGTGTAAATAAATTACATAGCAATGATAGAAACAATTCAATTTAAAGTGTTGTTTCATGTTGGAGATAATATCCCACGGATTTTGAGAAGAAAATTTTTGCTTCTTGTCATTGCACAGTTTGAAATCTGCACCTCACACATTTTTTCCCAATTATGCTGGTAATGTGTGCCACATGTGTTTAAATGGCAAACTGTTTGTTTTCTTTTTCAGTTTCAAAACTTGAGTGCATATATTTGAAAGCATTATTTAATAAACAGAGGTTTCACAAATGCATTTGATAGCAGGCCATCATTCTGTAACAAATAGATAAAAAAAAATAAAAAGGCTCTTGGCAGTGCGAAATACTGCAGCGAGACCCGGCTTAGGTGGTCGGCAGGATAGAGATCAGAAAAAAAGACCGATTTGGGCTTGTAGCCGGCCATATGGCTGCTGGCCGGCTCTTAACGAAACCCCTGAATAAATATTAATATTATTTTGTTATGGTATTCAATAATTATAATACAATGAGACACAAAACCACTTTTTATTGGCCTAATGTAGAATTCCCGACCAAACCTTTACATTAATAATGAAACCATCTTCCTTTGTATTTGATTGTAGATATCGCTATTGGACGAATCTATGATGCTTGTGAGAAACATGGTTATGTATTATTAATTACATCAGACCATGGTAATGCTGAGAAAATGTTTAGTGAAAAAGGTGGTCCACATACCGCGCATACAACAGCTAGAGGTAAGGAAGTGTCTCGTACACGCTATGTACTGCATATCCTAGTATTTGTGAATTAGATAGGTAATCGCTGCATTATTTTAGCATCGATTGTTTAACAGAATTTTTTTTAAATGCATATTACAACTACTGTAAAGTATTTGATCTGTTACAAGCACTTTTCTAAATCGGTTATACGTAGATTAAAGACTAATTATTTTCATAGAGTTGTATACCAATACTATATAACCTAGTCATTTTCCAGTTCAGTGAAATTTTGGCTGTTAGAATATAAGGCTATTACAATAATACTGGATTATACATAACAAAAGTATCGACCAATGCATATTTTCTCCTCATAATATCCTTATTACTATACATATTCTCAGTCCAACTTTGTGGGAAAAACATATCCCCCATCTTGGTAATGTTTACTTTCTGTCATAGAATGCAGATATAAATGAATGGTTTTTTTTTGTGTTTAAAAAAAAAAAAATGTTTTTGTGTCAAATGATAAGCCTTGAATGGTTTCCAGAATAGAATGCAATTTCACACAATTGTGTCTGCTATAGCTGGTAACTGAAGATGTATAATGATGTTTTTTCTGTTTTCCAGTTCCATTTATCATGACTGGTTCCCATAAATTCATAAAACTGGACGACCCTGGCCTGGCAGATGTTGCACCAACTGTACTTGACTTGATGGGATTGGATATTCCAGCTGATATGACTGGCAAATCACTGCTCAAGAAATAGATCATGTTGGATATTACCCAATCATCTCCCAAATATAGTACTGACCAATGAGTGAGATAGAAACAGATCATGTGGGTTTCACTAGCCAATCAAATAGTTTCAATGTCAATTTATGCTATATAATGATGTTCAGGGAATTTGAATTATCGGTACCCAAACAACAAAATCTATGTGTATTATTATTGGATTGTTTGGATTTGTTTGCTGTGACTACTCAACTGTAATAGAAAATAGATATAAAGTCTGAATTGAAATAGATGATCAACAGTGAACCATGTGATTCACTATTAGTCATTATTCTGTAATAAAGCTGATCATTTTAAAATTGCACTAACACAAGAAATACCCGACTGAAATTCAAAGCAGAGTACAAGTAGTTGAATCTAATATGGATATGATGTACATATATAGTGAATAATTGACATGTATGGCAATGATATTCTAATTAAAGCGGGGGAGTCGTCACCTGTTTCGTCATTGTTTACAAACAAGCGTCCACCCATGAGTCTTTGCGTTTTTAATGTGTGTTGTTATCGTCACTTGGAACTCAATTCCTGCACATGCGCAGGTGATGACACTCCCGATTTAAACTATTGACCAATGTGGAATTATTGTAATTTCAGTGTAATGTGTACATAGAGCGCTATTGTCCCAGGTCAACTGTTTCTGCTTCATAATGCAATGAATCTGACAATGAATAAGACATCTGTATGGCAAATATGGCAGTCTCTTGGGAACCATTTGTAAAAAGATTGCTCTCAATGGGGTGTGCCTATGTTTCAAGTACAACAACTGTAAAAACCTAATAGAATTCTTACCAAACCATTCATCGTCTATTAAGATATTGTCCCATCATTTAATATTGTCTTCGTATTGTGTATAACACTGTACATTTTTATTCATTGATTTCACTTATTATTTTTATAAAGTTTTAACTTTATATGACAATGTTAACTGAAATATGATCTGTGCTATTTATACAAAATCCAATGAAGGGGAAGTACCTGTAAAATAATATTCATTTATGATATCTGCTTATTTAGTGGCTACACAGTCATAACTGACCACTTTTTACCAACTTTGAGACTTGTAATTACATATTCAAGTTCTAATTGCATAACTCTTGTTTTAACTTGTCATGTATTTCACACACCTTCTCCAGCAGAATTAAAATAATATGCAGTGAATTTTGTGTCTTGTCATCGTTCTGCAAGCCTCGTGGAGTGATAGTAAACATAGATTTTCACATTGTACTGTATTTTATGATGCAAGGAATGCATCTGTCGTACTGCTGAACTTCTAGTCTGACTGACCAGCTCGGCTATCTTAATGGAATGTTTTTGCAGTTATTGCATGTTTCAAGTGTCATAATTCAATTCGTGATCAGTTAAAAGATGACAAAGTTGAAACCAACTTGCCTTTTGGCCACATTACTTTATCTTTTCACTGAGACTTGGTACATAGATGTTCTGAGATAATCTTCAGACCTGATTAGTTTTTGGCTGGAATCTGTGCATAATATTTACCTAATTTGCATATTGCCAAATTTTAAGTGTTTTCACTTGCTTAATTCTGGTGTACCGTTCAACAGATTTTCATATAACTTGTATTTTAGGGGTTTTGAGACACAGTTGTAATGCATTTGTAAAACTCAAATAATTTATTTTATGTACAAATCTGTGCATTCTAATTGGGTAATTTGTCAGTGGAACATCCTTTATTACTTAAAATGATTAAAAGCAAAGCCTATTGTATCCAAAATACTATGGACTGTAGCTTCTGGGCTAATCTGCACTGGCTCGGAAGGTTGTAAATGATTAGCTAGTTTGAATTTCTAATTTGCATAACATTACTGAGAATGAACGTGCATTCAACGCCACAAGTTTTTTGTTTTTTTAGCCAATCAGAATTCATCTTCCAAGCCAGTGCAGATCAGCAGTAGCTTCTCTCTAACATCTTCAACAGCCTAGTTAGTCCCCGTTCGGACGTAGTCCGAAAACGGGGACTTATGGTTTGCCCTGTGTGCGTCCGTCCGTCCGTCCGTGCGT